GTGAGATGTCCATGTAGATAAATAAGTGTTAAAAAGCCTGATAACTGCGTTTTGCGATCCATTTTTTATGGGGACAGGTGGTAACAGGTTGTAGTTGGTATTTCCAGCCGACAATGTGCTATAGCCCTGCGGCAGTCAATGTACGCGGGCTATAGTACTAGAGCTAGGTTATGGTTAGCCTTACGGTTCGGTTTAGGCTAGACCGAATAATTCTGTACCATATTATGGCATGTAACCTTTTTTTATATTTTGGTGAGGGTTATATTGGGACAGAACGGGGTTCATTGAAATTTCGTGAGATCGCATGCAAAATGCATGCGCTGCTAATGCGGCCCGTACGCCGCTATTGGCGCGAAAAAAAACCTACCGTTCCCTTCTACATGGCTTTACCTTGCTACTGATATGTGTATACATTCACTTCAATCGTTATTTACTTCTTTAAAGATTGTTTTTCAGAAACCCCACTTCATTAACTTTAGTAAATTATGTTGGCCATTTACAAACAATCAGACCAATCACAGCGAGTCTATCACGCCTCCTGCAGCGCCACAGATACAAGCGAGAACCAGGGGCTATTGTAAGACTCGCTGTGATTGGTCTGATTGTTGTTGGCATTTTGCATGCGATCTCACAAAATTTCAATGAACCCCGTTCTGTTCCAATCACCTTCACCAAAATATAAAAAAGGTTATATGGGACAGAATTATTCGGTCTAGGGTTAGGCACATTGGTTTTATTGGGACCCATGTTCTCTATCCTTGGGCCCGAGTACAGGGCTATAGTACTAGAGCTACTGTACTCGTATGGTTATAATAAATTGCACTACCGGCCTCGTAGTAATAATAATATATTGCTAATCTAGTAGTAGTAGTAGTAGTTTAAGTTAGGGAAAAATTAATTGGATAAAAGTTAACATGCGTAATTGTCTAGTTAGATACAATAATGTAACCCAAACCCAGGATAAGGTTACAACGCGAGTCTATGGTTTTCTGTGGAGGAACCCCTGAGTGAATCACTCAGGGCAGTTTGCTGGTGCGTTTTCAGAGACTAGAACTTCCAAACTGGGTTTATTCTAAACACAAACCTTTCTCCGCTATCCTGGAACTTACTATGTATCACAATACTCTGTATTAAACTAATATAACTTGTTACAAACTTGCTTTCAGGTTTTTACAGGGGTGTCCAAAATACTTTTGGTAAAATATGTGCACCAAGGCGTCCTTCGTTTCAGTGGCCATTTCTAGGTTTTTTATGTGCGCAATCCAAGGAGCAAGTATTCGTTTCAGGAGTTTCTGTAAGTCTGGAAGATGTGTGCAGTTTGTGGCACAACGCCTTTCCATTGCAGGCTTTTCAATTACATGCAATTATTTTAATTTGTTTAAGCACTGAGATGTGTTTAAACACTGAATTTGTTTAAAAACAGATCCTATCACCAAATAATAAAGTTCTAGCGCAGTGTGGAACCGATAACGATAAAAAAGTTGTGAAGGCACTTGCTCAGTCGAACGGTCGGAAACATGAATCTGACTTGTAGTTCTTTTGTGCTGGTGACTGTACTGAATGATTCAGAAGGTGATACTCATCTGTTTTTTTCCTTTTCCTTGCCTTTGTCCCTAGCAAGGGGTACGCGGTTGTTGATAAAGCTAATACGTGCCACAAATACGCACTACTGCTCTGCTGCAACGAAGGCAAGTGCTCCTTGGTTTTTATTTACTACGGTATCACTGTTCGGGAGAGTTTGGGCAAGACAGACAGGTTAGGTACAATCTTTCATTTCTATCGTTTCGGAATGCGTGGGGCGTGTGATGTATTGGGGATGCTGCCTGTCAAGTGCATGCAGTAATACAAGCTGAGCTTGTAAGAGAGGTTGGTTTTGAACCAGGAGGGTGTTGAGGCGCTAAGATCCATGGTTAAGTTAGAGTAGTCCAGATGGTCTCATCTGTAGATAGTTTAGCTAATATGTGTGTGTATATTTACACGCATCTAGTCTTCCCTCTTATATGTTTCCTGTAGTCAAGCATTGGTTGAGTTTCAGTTTCGCCTGTCATTAAGGTGATTTATAAGCAGTGGTAATGCTTGGAAAGCAATACTACTGCCGAGCTGTTTCTTCACACACCAGGTACATATTCAGTAGAGGTGTAACGATACACTAGGGTCACGGTACGATATGTATCTCGATACGTAGGTCACGATACGATACGTATTGCGATACACAGACAGAAAGATAATATATATATATAATATTAATATGTATTCTAATTCTTTCATAACACAAACGTATTATGAGTATGCCAAAGCCATAGAAATGTATAGTAAACAATCAGTTACTATTCTATATATATATTTCTATGGCTGAAACACACCGAGACTTTCTTAGTGTGCTCTAGACTAACCGGTAATCGACAGCTCCACTCACATGTGCACCATACGTAGTACTACATTACATGCGCAGTAACGTCAATCAGCACTCTTGATTATTTTGGTGGCAATACAAGCGCACCACATATATTGACCCAGATTTCTATGACAGCTGAGGATATTTACGTGATACTGAGAGGGAGTTCATAAAGTAAAAGAAAGAATTCAATTTAAAAAAAGTGCATGTGCTTTATTAAATAGTTTGGCCTGCCTTATTCACTGTTTGTATCGTGATACAGACGCTGCGTATCGATTATCGTATCGTGGGCCGCTGTATCGTGATTCACCGATGTACCTGTGAATCGTTACACCCCTAATATTCAGGCACATATACCCCGTAGTTTCTACGTGAATTAAAGCGCTTGTATCGTGTTAGGTTATATCGTGCTCGGAGACAAAGGTGTCATAATGGTGGTAGAGTAATTATGAGCAATTGCACAGTTGCCATTGTGGGTCCAGCTTAATTTAAAGATTTGGTTGTAACCATGCTCGTATGCCATTAAAATGTACCAGAAAGCATAAGAGTGGGAACGTTTCATCAGTCTTATCAGCTGCATTTCACCACCCAGTACATGAAAATTTAATACTATAACACTAAAGTTATTTCCGCTAAAATGCATGCAGGTTAAATTTTAATTTCCGTGTGGTTTTCCTTTGCATGAACCGTGGCTTTGTTTTCACAGGTGAAAGAGTTACTGTCGTCGTTCGGACAGCTCAGAGCGTTCAACCTCGTGAAGGACAGTGCCACCTCTCTGTCGAAGGGATACGCGTTCTGCGAGTATGCAGACGCCCTTGTCACCGATCAGGTTTGTAACTGCTGCTCCGTGTTGTAGCTGTGATAGATTTCCCATCCAGGGGGCCTTACAGAGTTCGAAATTAAGGGCAGCAAGCAGCAGTTTTGCTGCCTACAGGAGTCAGTGTGCTGCCTGCTCTCAATGTTGGCAGCAAATAATTGCTGCGAAGAAATTCCTAATAAAGCATAGTAAAAGCACCAAAGATTCTGCTGCCTTGGTGAGTAAATTTGCTGCCTGCCTTTTACTCTGATAGCAAATAGTTGCTGACTGGTAAAAAAGAGTCCATTTCTAACCCTGGTCTTACCACATCATCATTTGCAGTACATTTGCAGTTTTTTCAAGTTGCGCGTAAGTGGACAAGCGTGTTGACTAATTGATGGTTGCAGTCTAACGACCGCGTCAATGACCGGTGTGTAATCGGTAGTTAGGTGCGGCGTGCCTACCAATTATATGAATTTTTTTAATGACGTCACCGTTCTAGGCATGCCTTGAATTCCGGGTGCTTTACGAGGGAGACGCGACTCGCCCGGTAAGATGAATCGTTCGCCCTGTGATTGATCATTTGCGACCGCTGCGGTCGTACCAACCTGACAGAGGTTGTGTGTCGTGTCTCGGTCGTGCCGTTTTCTCGCCTCAGCACTGATATATATGTGGCAAGATGTAGGGTGTTAAGATCAGGCGTGGTGTCGCGTAGGGAGATGTTAGGTGCTGAGGTCATACGAGGTGTGGTGTAGGGAGATGTTAGGTGCTGAGGGCATGAGTTGAAAGGTCGCACATGGCAGAGATGCCAACACGTATTTGAAGCAATCTGTAGTTTCTGGCCATCAAATTAGTAGTTTAAGGGTCACGTAGTGACCCGAGTTTGCTAGGGGGGTCCGGCATACTCCCCGGAAAATTTTTTGATTCTGAGATGCAATTTCCTGCATTCTGACGGTCAAAAATGACAATAAATTGACCAAAAATGACAATAATTAAATTTTTTTTTTTGGATTACAGTGAGATTCGTAGTTTGATACAAACTGGTCGTAGTGGTGCAAAAGGAATAGAAATTCGTATAAAATACGGATAAATCGTAGTGGTTGTCATCTCTGACATGGTGAGTAATAACATGCTAAGACCATAACGTGGTGTGTTGCAGGCGGTTGCCGGACTGAACGGCATGCAGCTGGGAGACAAGAAGCTGATCGTACAACGCGCTAGCGTCGGAGCCAAGCACAACCAGATGAACGTAAGTACATCTCTCCCGTCGCACTCTGTGATCTCGCGCGTGCACGTATTTTCACGCAGGTGTTCTAGTTCCTCGTGTGCCGATCGTTTTTTTACCGGTCGATTCCCGCACCTGACCTCGCTGTGTATTCACGCGACCTTGTGAAGGTTACGAGGTTGTAGTTGTCATCTAGTTTCCTCAGAATTTGCCCTCCCAAACTGCCGCCTAGATCCATTACATCAACCCAACACCTGCCTGTTGGACGGGTACTTTGCTGATTAGTTGATTTGTCTGACTGTGTGTGTGTGTTTGCGTGCGTGCGTAGGTAGCCGTGTGAATCCAACGTTTGGTATAGAAGAAGCTAGCAATGGCTAGTGAGAATGGCACTACTGCAAGCCGGGGACACATTACAACAGTATTGCCTCCATTTAAACGCAGAAACGATTATATTACTGTGCAAGTCACCCGGGCTCGCTCATGATTGGTTCTGCCCTCTCCTTGCGCTGTGGTCGTTCGCTGCGGCTCTACACACTTGACCTTGTCCACGCGACCTTGTGAAAGGTGAGCGATTAGTCTGCGTGAGACATGCGAGGTTGTGATCTGGTTTTATCTTGTGCCCCGCAGCAAGCGCCGGTGCAGATCCAGGTACCGGGGCTGAATCTGAACGCGATGGGTGCGCAGCCACCGACGGAGGTGCTCTGCCTCATGAACATGGTGTCACCAGACGAGCTGGCAGACGAGGACGAATACGAAGGTCAGTTGTTAGTCGCAGTCGGTCCTACAGCGTAACCTCTATAGAACGAACACCTATCTAAGACTACTAATAAAGGAAACTTTCAACATTATGCCTTTATGCAGGTTGGACGATGTTTCACTCATAGGGTATACTTATTTTTTCTCACTGTGTAGAATAATTTAAACTCATAATGGGTACATATTGTACTCCCAGTGTATTTGTATTGTAATAACAATGCTTTCGTATTATACTCGCAGTGTGTGCATATTTTTACTCGGAGTGTATTCATATTGTACTCACAGTGTGTACGCATTTGTACTCAGTGTATTCGTATTGTACTCGCAGTGTGTGCATGTTTGTACTCGGAGTGTACTCACAGTGTATTCGTATTGAACTCACAGTGTGTACGCATTTGTACTCGCAGTGTATTCGTATTGTACTCGCAGTGTATTCGTATTGTACTTACAGTGTGTATGCATTTGTACTTGCAGTGTATTCATATTGTACTCACAGTGTGTACGCATTTGTTCCGCAGACATTGTGGATGACGTTCGTGAAGAATGTGGCAAGTATGGCGTGGTGAAGAGCATAGAGATTCCGCGGCCAATAGAGGGTGTCGATGTGCCTGGCTGTGGCAAGGTGAGCTCCGCTTCTACCCTGCTTGCACGCCTAGCTTACCCGCCCGTGCTCCAGATCTCTGCGCACGCATGATTGCTGTGTTCAGCTACACGATCTGTTTCGGTTCACGTTTCAAGTGCACTTACCGACCCCCCCCCCCTCCTCGGCAAGTGCAAAGAATATGTCGGTTCATACTTACTTAGTACACGTGCCAAAAAAAGGGCCTGAGATAGCTGGAACACAACATTTTGGCATGAAGAGTGCATATAGCGAGAAAACCTTCCCGTATTAACCTTGTCGTGTGCGAACATTCTCTCCTTGTATTCATTGTGTTTTTCTGCCATTTAGATTTTTGTCGAGTTCAACAGCGTCTTGGATTGCCAGAAGGCACAGCAACATCTGACGGGACGGAAGTTCGCTAACCGAGTCGTAGTGACGTCATACTACGATCCGGACAAGTACCACAGACGGGAGTTCTAGGCTCACGGCTTTCAGCCGTTTGTCTGCGTGCATACGTGCATGTGGATGTGTGTGTGTGTGCGTGCGTGCGTGCGTGTGTGTGTGCTTGAATGTGTGGGATCATGAATGTAAATGTATGGGATTGTGAGTGGATGGGATTGTCAGTGTATGTGAGTGTGAATGTTAGTATTCCTGATTCAGTGGCATTATAGATTGTAAGCCAACAATATATGAACTGTCAAAAGTTAAAATGAGGTTTTGCTAAAAAGAAACTGGGGGTGTTGAAAGCTGGGCTGTGAGTTCTGCCCGCACCTTGATCTGTTTGCATTGTGTTGATGATTTCGATGCATTCACAACTAGTTATCGAAATGCTGATTTGTTGCATTTACTGGGAATGCCACATCGATATAAGATGGTAATGAACTTGTGAAGGATGTAAGTGTATATACAGTATCTTGTTAGTGATGTGATACAATAAAAAAAAACGTAGTTTTCGAAACGTTGCAAAATTTTGCAGTGAAGTTTTATGTGGACGTCTGAGAAGCGCTCTATTTGTGACGTATAGGCGTTGATAGTTTCTCTGCAAAGAAAATTTGACACAGAAAGAAGTTTTATTTGATGTGAAATGTTTAGACCTTGTTGAATTATTACTGCTAATCGAAACATTATTATAGGATGTCTTTTTCGTAATGTAGGTACAGGAATTTCTTATTAAGCGTATAAAACATCAAAGTTATTCACGAGTTATGTAATGATATGCACGTCTGTGCACGAAGAGGTTATCTTAGCAAAGAAGAACAATAACTCGCGTAAATTGCAGTTGTTGTTGTAGATAGTTATTCACAAGTAATTATTTTAGATGATGGTCGCGGTCATTTGCACATTTTGATTTGGCTTCTATAAAAAAGCGGTTTCCATTTCGCACCAGTTAATGTGCATGTGTTTTGGGAGTTCATTGCCTGATGTTGGTGTTCTCAAGCTACTGCTTTGATTAGACGCGCGAGTGAAGTCGTCTCACGCTATGGGTATCAAGCAGGCAAAGCCACCGAATCGGAGGTCATATAGACGTGACTAATGTGTTCTATGTCTCCGTGCGTGCGACGATGTAGTGCTTACGTCACTACCACTCCACTATGTAACCGTGTACAGTGTACAGCACGCGCATGCACGCAGGAAACCTATTTTAATGTGTTATGTCGTTAAGGTCGTCGCTCTCGTCAAAAATGCTTTGTTAGCTGTCATGGGGTTTTAGATGCTAATGATAGTGGTCTAATAAATATTCGATACTCTGAAACGAGACGTGCTTACACCTAAATCTCTCGCCTGCTATCCGCTCTAGATATCCTCACCTCCCTCCATCATCCTTATGTGCATCAAGTGCATCAACTAATTCACTGTTTACTCCCAAAATGTTTTTATTTTAGTTGTAATAATAAGGCTGGTTTTATTGTTCAGAATTTACTTTGAAATTGGAGGCATTGCAATAAGTTCACTACATAGCTTGTATGAGTGTAATGTTATTTAACAAATGTTACTTTCACATCTTTAAGGAATTCAACACATTTATATGATGTATTGCAATTAAAACATATTCCATTTAAGCAGTAAAGCAAATATCTGCAACAACGCAAGTTGACACGTTCAGAGTTTTCACGACCGTTCAGGTTAATTAGCAGAAGAAATTATTATTCGTATGCGATGATATCCTGATTATGTGTAACATGAAGTTGTATTTTAGAAATATCCAGTAATAAAAGTTGGTGCATCAGACCAAGAACTTGTTTATTACTTTACATTTGTACGTTTTTGGAAGTGAATGGTGGGTGTGAGGTGTTTGGTATGATACACGAGCATGGACGACTGTTGCACAGACATATTGCACCGTCTAAATTGATCCTGTTTATAAATGATAAACTAATTCAACCGTGGATAAATTATGTGTAACAATTATGAAGGCCCGTGACTGGGGGGGGGGGGGTGTAAAAGGGGCCATTATTTAACCGAGGCTATGGCCTATTTACCCAATCAGAGGCCTTGTAATGTTACACATAATTTAACCGTGGTAAAATTGTGTATCACGGCCTCTGATTGGGTAAAAGGGCTATAATTTTGGTTTAATTATGGCCCCTTTTACCCAAAGAAATACCTTGGTTCTCACAAAAGTGTGAAATCCTTTTTCGAGGACAATCTGACAAGTTGTTTTAGCTTTTTAGAGTCATCATATATACCTTAGATTCATATAAAAAGTAAAAATAGTTATTTTACACGAGTGCCGACAGCAGTTTAAACAGCCGCTAGCTCGCCGACTACCCGTGTACACAATACAATGGTCGTTTCATATTGTCATTTACATAGATTCATGTCACAGTCCTGTGACAATATGTAAAGCTTTGATATAACATGTAGGCCTATCACTGAGAACTATGTATCACAGAATGTACTGTATCACTCAGATATTTTATTATTTTAACTGCTCGGCACTGTTACATTTATCAGATTTTTCAGTATAGTCTTCAGTATAGTCATATATTTGTAGTTGAATTTCAGTGTGTGTGTGTGTATGTGTGTTTGTGTGACTGTAAAACCGCGTATTATAGCCGAATCTCCACATTTTGTGCTTTGGAGAGGTGAAAAAGTTGAGGCTGAAAACCAGCCATTTGCCTAGCTAACTTTTCACCATGCAACTGGTGCCGTTGGCGATACTATCCGCGAGAGGGGGAAAGAAATACTGAGGGGAAGGGAGTGCGAGGGGAGGAGGAAGGAAAGAGGAGAGAAAGGAGGGAGGAAGGAATGCAGACGGAGATGCGCAGTCACACGCGCAGACAAACGCACGTACGGCACAAACGGCACACACACACAGGCACGGATGCACATATTCCTTCTAATATAGTTACTTCTCTCGTAGTACAGTTGATAAGCTCTCATATTATAACAATTGTGCATTTTATGAGAAAAGCATGAAATTTCTAGCATAGTTAGTATATACCATGATGTTTATTTTCAGATGTGGAGGGAAGTCAGATTTGACCTCTGAGGACCGTGAGAGGTCAAATCCAAGATGGCCGCCAGTCCACCAGGTCTTAATGTTCAAACGTGCTTAATTTTGGAACCAAACAGCGTAGAAAAACATTTAAGATGTCGATTCCAACTAAATTGGGGATGACCTTTCATTTGGTGATACCTTTGAGATCGCTAGAACTCAAGAACATGCATTTAATCCAAGGTCAAGGTAAAAATTTACCAAAAAATAAGAAATCGGTTGAAATTTGCAAATAAACACCCAGCGATGTAATTTCAAAATAATCTTAAGATTCCCATATATTTGATGATCATTTTCAAGTTGCCAGCACTTGAACCCTGGCCAGATTCCTGTCCTTGCTGTTGACCAACCACTGTATGCTCTTGCTAAGGAAGTCCAGTGAACCTGGCCAGCCACTCCAGGGGTGTATCCATG